TTTTTGCCATCTACCCGAAAACTAACTAAAACGAAATGGAAAACATAAATCCAATTGGAGCCAGTGTTTTCCAGAACATCATCATCATCATTGAAACCAAAGAAAAAAAAATTGATATAAATCTCGAAACAAATCGATGCGTAAATTCAATGTCTGTTGTGTTATGATTTAATTTCATTTTTTTCACAATTTGGCCATTGAGAACAGGGAATAGAATTTTTCATCTATGAACAATGTTTCATATATTTCAGCATTTCAAATCAACCTATTTTCTGGTTGCCAGTTTTTGCTTGACACAATTGATTGTAATGAAATTAGACATGCATTAAAAAAAATATTTATTCATATTGTTTCCCATATTTTTTTTTGTCTCGATGAATATTCTCTGTTGTTCTTTATTTTTGCATGAATACATGCACCTACATAAAGTCTACGAATATATATTTTAATTGTAATAGAAATTCCATTATGAATTGCACAGCAAAATTTCTATTCATTTTGGTCGATTATAATAATGATAAAAATAGCTGAATGACAAATAGAATCCATATATTCTCATTCAAATGATTGCTATAAGTTTTTTTGATGAATTATCATGATTTTAATAATGGAATTTGAATGAAAATGAATATTTTTTTTTTTATTTCCATTGAAAGTTTTGAAGATTATTATACAATTTTGAATTAGAAAACAACAACCCGATCAATTCAAAAATAATAACAATTCATTTTTTTCATTTTTTTAGAATCAATTAAATGTTCAAAAATAATATGACAGAATATGAAAAATCAAATACATTAACTGAATAAGATATGAAATATTTCATTTCTTATTCATAAGAATTTCAATGAAATGTAATCAACAAAAAAAAAGCTTTCATCAAAATAAGCTTGCGGATATTCTTCTTGTTCTTTTTCAGCATTGTTATTCCATCAAAACTGCGATTCAATTATAAGAATAATAGAATGAAATGAATTATTATAGGTATCATTATTGTTTTATTTTGTGCCTAAAGGAGTAAAATAGCATATGTAAAATAATAATAATAATAAAAATAAATCACCACACCTATCTTGCTGAAGTGTTGATATGATGTTGTGTGTATGAATGATGTGGAACTCATCATCAACGAAAAATTTATTTTTCATTGCTTGAAGGTGAAAAAAATTATTATTAAATAATCCTAAAGGATGATCGGATTCGTTTTAGACAAAAAAAATTGATATTTTTTTTGAATTATGAAAATGAAAATGATAAATAATTGAAAATAGTATGGATGTTTCATTCATTTGAATGATACATTATATAAAATTACGACCCATTTTTCAAACATGATCAAAATGAAAAACATATTTCAATGATGCCCTGAATTTTCATTTTTTTTTTTGATCATTTTAATTTGTTTGTCGTTCGATGACATCGGTTGATGAAATATGTCAAAAAAGGGGCCAAAATGAAAAAAATAGTCATTTTTATTTTCGTTATACGAAAAAAATAGGATTTTTATTTAAAATTTAATGTGAAAAAAATACTACGATGCAAATAATAACGAATTATATTTATAAAGAGATTTTTTTTGTTGTTGATTGAAGTGTGATAGATGAATAGATTTTTTTTTAGTTGAAATATAATGGATGCTTAAAAAATTTTGTTCAATTTTTCATTCAGTTTTAGATTATTTGATTTCTGTAAATAAATACTTTTTTTTCTGAATGACCAACTTTTTCTATTCTATTCTATCTATATTTCAAAGTTATATAATATCATTTGCCAACAATAATGATGATAGCTGAAAGTAGATATTTTTTCACTCATTTTGATTATCCATTAAAAATGGCTTTTGTTATAATAATAATAATCAATATTGAATATGAATTTTAAATGAAAAATTTTTCTTAGAAATAAAAACACTTCAGGTAAAATCGATTGCTTTTTATAATTGGCTTTTTTCTAACGAAAAACTGAAAAAAAAATTTATTTCCATGACAATTTTGGTGTAAATGCCGCCCGAAAAAAAACCGGATTCAGATAACAAGATTCATTTTTTCCTCACCATCATTTTCAATAGATTTTTCTTTAACCATTTTTATTCTACCGAAAAAAATAATAATAATGATCAATTGATCACTGATGATTGAATCGTTATATAGGTCTTTTTTTTGTCGTTATTCATTATTTCGTGTTACATTTTATTTCTTAATTCAATTGTTTATCAGATATTTTCAAGGCTTTCAACAAAAAAAATGTTTGTTATTTCATTTTATTATTTTATCATTATCTAATAAAGATAGATTGAAGTGTGTAAGTAAATACAATAACTATGATTGGTCATTAATAGAAAAAATAATGACTGTGAAGCTTTTTCTTTCAAAATGTGTCAATAATGGTTATAATGGTGGTGATTGATTAGAATTTAATAAGCTGGACAATGATGGTACGGATGGATATAAACTGTACAATTTCAAAGTATAAAAAATGAAACATTTTTAATGTATAAATTCTTTGTTGTCAATGCTTTCTTTCAAATATCTATGGCGAAATAATAAACAAGAAAATTGTTTCTGTTTGCCACGTGAATTGTTTTTCTTTTCTTCTTCTTCATCACCATCATCTTATCGAAGCCATTTACACAGAAGCATAGCAAATCCATCTTTCATGTTATGAATCAACGAGAAAAAAACCAATTATAAGCCAAATCAAGTATGATTCACACACACACACAAACAATAACTATTCTTTCTTTGTGTATTGAATTCATCATCAATCCAATTGATTGTGAATTCAATTGGATTGACCCGTTTCATCATCATCATCATCATTTGGCTGTCAAAACATTCAATAATAAAAAGAAAAAATGAAAAGAAAAGATTTTTTTTTTTGATCAATCGATCGAAATAAAGAAAAAAAAAGAGAAGAAAAAAACGAATTTGTCATTGTCTCCCGTTGACGATGATTGTTGATCATGTAATTAGCAGTTAAATGAATTGAATTCTGAAGTGATGATGATTGAATTGAATATAATTTTTTTAATTTCATTCAATTGGCGCTTCTTTTGTCATCCAGAAAATGGAACAAATTTAATTATTTACAACAACAATAGATAATACCTGTAAATGTATTAAGTTATAATTTACTTTTTTGAATTGAAATGTTTTTGATTGACCTCGATAGTGGTCGTTAGGTCAATTTATCGATTCCGATTGAAATAATTTGATAATTTGTTAAAATGTCGCACAAATAATAATTGGCGAGAAAACAACAACAATGTTATCTATAGAAAATTTCCATTGTTGTTTATTGGCTTTATTTTTTTATCATTTCCGAAGAATTATTTTTGAAAATATTCTCACACCATACGAATGATCATGTGAACAAATTTTTTACATTCCATATCTATCAATATAAATAGATTTACAACCAAAAAAAAGGAAGAATTCTATGTCGATAAATGAAGCAATCAATCATCGCCAATATCATCAGAAAAAAAATGATTTCTCAATTCAATTCAAGACGTGTGTGTGCAAATGTGTGAAGATCAAATCGAACAACATTGAACAACAACAAGCCAATTATGTTTTTATTTTCTTTTTCATAGGAAAATGTATAGCCTTGTTGTTGTTGTTGTTGTTATTATTGTATTTTGAATATTGTTGTTATTATTATTATCACCAATAACATTTACTACCATGGATAAATAGATAGATAGATTTTTAAAATGAGAATAAATCAGGGTATCATAATCAAAACATGGACAACATCCAATTCAATCATATTGCATGATCAATGTATGTTGAATTAAATGGTGTGATGATGATGATGATACATCATCACATTATTCATATCGCATGTGTCGAGCATCAATAAAAATGCGATAGATCTATTTGATTATAATCGTTAAAGAAAGCATAACAAAACATGCATATAAACAAGATGTCATTCGATCTTCATCATTCCAATGAATCGGGATATGATGATACAAATGACAGCAACATATTGTATATATTTATGTTATCGAGAAAAATGTTGTTGTTGTTTTACATCACACCAATCGTGTTTTTTTTGTTGATGATGATCTTGATTATTTTATAATAAAGAGTAGTTTGGGTCGACCCACACAAAAACACATACGGTCGATTGATCAGGATTTAATATTGAAGATGATCGATTGTGATTCATCATCATAATCATTCCAAGGATTGGTATTATGTGTTGAACAATATTGTTATTCGATGCAGGCAAAAAACTGGTATAGAATCTTTTTTCCCATTCAACAACATGCAGTCATGATTAATTCATCATTTTTTGTTTTGTTGTTTGTTTCATTTCTTATAAATCATATCTTGATTTTTGTTGAACATATTAATTTTGAAATATTTCAAACATTTATTCAGCTAAATACTAATAAAGGTAGAAATTTAAGTAATTAAGTGTCATCTAGTGATGATCAAATAAAATACATAATTGAATTTCGGGTTATTTTTTATAGAAACGTAATGAAAAAACCGGTTTTTTGGGTGAAAATTTTTCAAAAAATTAAGAAAAAATAACAAGAATTAATTTGATCAATGAATAATTTTATTGATTTTATTTTGATGATAAGGATAATCATTGTTTTCGTATTGCCAACTTTAATTTAATCATCATAAATCGATGTTGTTGTTATAGCAATGATAATATTCATTATACTCTATTATGAATCACTAATCTCCTGTGTGATAAAACTTATGGATAACGGAGAAAACTCTATTTCCATTTTGATAATTATCATAAAATCCATAATCCAAATCCATCGTTCGAAAAAACGATAATATGGATCAAGTAAGCAATCTAAGAATATGCTATACTTGCAAAGTATAAATTTGTCATTTCGAATAAAAAATTTACAGAATTTTATTCTTTGTTTTTATTTGATTCTATTTATAGACGATTTTTTTTATTCGTTGTGATTGAAACTTTTGATTATTCTGAATCGATTATGATGTGAAAAATGAGTATAAAAATCTATAGATCAATTATGCAACAGATTATCGATTTAAATTTGAGAAGGTGATGAGCCAATACAATGATGATTGTGATGATCAACAAATGATTTTGAAAAATCATCAACAATGTTGGAATATTCGAGTGATATTACTGGTGGTCTTACGACCAAACAAGCTGTTTATAAATTGTATAAAGATATTAAAGAATTTCTCGATGATTTAGAGGTCTGATCTATGATTTTTTTAAAGATGTTATGTAATTTTAAATTTTTATTAATATCAAAGCAGCCTCATTTATACAATGTTCAATCATGGAGATATGTTCTTAGTCAAGCGTATTCAATCAAAAGTATACATTCAACATTTCGATGGACATCGATAATTTTTCTTATTTCATCGATCATAACCTATTTGATTGCATTTGAATTCGGTCATTTTACTTCATCCATACCATTAGCTATTGAAAATGTCATCTTAGTATTAGTATTGATATTGAATATTGGAATCATTTATTGGAGTTCGAAATCTCGTCACACAGAGCTTTATGACAAAGCAGTTCGATTAGCCGAAAAAATTCGTGATTGTGCCAATAATGAACAATTAATGAATCAATGGGCGACACATATATTCTATGCTAATTTAGCAACACCGGCTTCACCATGTATTTCGATACAGCGAACATATCGTGATGATAAATTAGTTAATCTTCCTGTATCACTTTTGGTTAAAGGTGATGTGATCTATTTGGAACCTGGACATAAAGCACCAGCCAATTGTCGACGTATCGATAAAGTGATTAAACGTGGCAAAAAGCTAAATGATTATCATTTTTATGATGGTGGAAATGATCAATTTCCACACGCAACTTTAGATCATGCTTATACCTATGTATTTCTCGATGATGAGATTGGCAAAGATGCTATACTTCATCGTGATGAAATATTTGCGCCCAAGGTTGATAATGAACCAGAAACATTTACCGTTCCAAGATTTCGTAAATCATTAAAACCAAGTAAATTTTTGCTCATTGAAACACCCTATGTTACGGATTTAAAAACGGCATTGTCACTACAATCACAGCATGGTCGAAAACCGACAGCGTTTGAGAAAGAATTTCGATTAATTTTCGTTCGTTATTTGGAACATATATTGGTACCGATCATATTCATTATCGTACTTGGTTTCAGTATTGTACATTATTGTTATGTGGAATTTACTGGAAGTCATTTCGATACAACAGCAGCTACAATAGCTTTGATACTATTACGACCGGTAATGACTATATTACCATTATTACCATTGGCATTGCCATCACTATGGTTAATTTTGAACGTTTATGGTCTAATTAGATTGGAAATAATTTACAAATATTTTCATATGAACGAAGATAAACTTTTAAAATCTGGAAAATCATCGGATTCATTTAGGGATTATGATTTAAATACGAATATCCATTTGACAGAAAATCCTTTGTATCAAAATAATTCTGCAATTCGTCGCGAACATCTTCTTGAAGAAATTGATCCAGATCAAATACGAATGATACCAACAGAAAATTTAATGTTACAAAAAATTCTGAAAAAAATTTTCTTTTTTTTCTCTAATGAAAATGGAAATTTATGGAGAACGGCCAATCTATTGCATGTATTGGGAAGTATAACTGCCTTGTGTTGTGTAGATAAAAAAGGTATTCTTTCGTGGCCTAATCCTATCGCCGATAAGGTATTTTTCTTGTCATCGGCTCAAAATCGAAAGAAAAATTCTACTGAATACGAAAATTTTAATAACAATGTTGATAATGAATTTAACGATTCATCTTCATACACTCAACATAATCAAAGCGGTAAACGGCATTCAGTTCTTTCAAATGTTTCTCGTGCTGAATGTGTTCAACTAGATATAACACTTGATCGTCGTAATCCATATGGTTTACAATTCGATGATATTTATTGGAATCGTTATCTTTCAAATCTAAAACCACTGGGTTTGGCGATTTTGTTGAATACTTGTAATCCTGCAACGCAAGATGAATTTATTCGTTACAGTGATCATATCGCGTGTGAATCGCTTGCCAATGAAGTTGCTGTTCCGGTCGTTAGTAAACGATGTCTTTGTGAATTAGCTAGACAAATTGGATTCACGGAAAATGCAATCAAAGATTATCAATATTGTTACCAGATCGGCGTTTTTCGTCATATCCGTCCTGAAGTGATCAAGAAAGGAAAATTGGCAAAATCATTGAATTTTTCTCGGCTACGAATGCCATTCCCGAATATGACCTGTGCGGTTATTTGTGATTCATTTTCCAATACTTGTCAGTTGCTTTCACAAGGGACTGGTGATTTAATCCTTGATTCCTGTGCCGAATATTGGAACGGTCAAGGTTTGGTTTTGCTTACCGATTATGAGAGGAAAAAAATTCTCGATTTTTACCAAAGATCTTCACTTACATCTTATTGTTGTTCATTTTCTTACATTCCTGTTATCAATGAAAGTGGAACAACAGCTAATAATTCGGAAACCTCTAATTTTTATAAAGAGTATTATGTTGAACTGCCACCGGACAGCAGTCATTTGTTTCCATCACAACGAAGTCTTGATTCACATTTTCGTGGCCTTGGAATCGATTCACATTATTCATTTTCAAATACTAGTCATCATAATTTCGATTCATGCAATGAATCATTCGATCATTCCATGTATTTAAATTTGGATTCTAAATTAATTGGACATCATCTAAGTACAGATTCAATTTCAAAACATGGAACTTTTACACCTGGCAATAATAGTAATAACAATGATTCGCCATCAACTAGATCTAAAAAAGGATCAAAAGAAGATCTAGAGAAACCTATTGTGAACAATGATGCTACAGCTGCCGAACCAGAGCGATCATTTAAAGCGAAACCAATTGTTCATGAAACACAAACACAAAAATTGGATCAAACAATGAAAAAAGTAATCAATGAAGTTTTCATCGGTATGGCTACATTACAATATCAAGCTTGTTCGGATTTTGTCCGTCTTGTAGAACTATTAGATACAGGTATATTTTTATTATTCTTTTTCCACTAAATCCTGATTGTATTTAATATTCCAAAGCTTGTATTCGATTTGTTCATTTTTCAAAAGAAAATGAACTAAGAAGTCGAGTGTTTTCGGAGAAAATGGGGCTTGAATCCGGTTGGAATTGTCACATTTCTTTGTTAAATGATTCGATTGGACATTATAATGCCAATAATGATAACGAATCAAGTGCCGAAAATAGTGAGCATAAAAAATCAAAGCATTCCGACAATTCGGGTAAGAATTTATCTTTATTTTGGTTTTTTTCTAAACACTTATAAATTGAATATTATTAGCAGCTCACATCAAACATAAGATGAATCATCGAATGTCGATAACAAGTATCAATTCGTCTGACTATTCATCAAGTAGTGATTCGGAAGAGGTTCCAATTAGTCATGAATTGCCAAGACCACGACGTAAACTTAATTCTGTTTGTTCGGATCGTTCGGGCAGTTTTCATATTCGTCATGGGTTAACTCGAGCAAAAGAGTTTCGAAGTTCAAGTAAAGCTTCGAATACACATCGTCAACTCTCACCATCGCCCAGTCGTAATACAACAGCCAGTACAATGACCGAACACGAAGCACCCATAACATTCGATATGTCTAATCGTGCCAAATTACCCAAAGGAATTGATAATATTAGACCACATCTGGAAAATGTAGACAATGTACCATTATTAGTATCATTGTTCACTGATTGTACACCGGAAGCAACGAAAGAAATGATAAAAATCATGCAAGAATATGATGAAGTTGTCTGTGTGATCGGAAGCATGGCTAATGAATCGAACATGCCAATTTTCATGCAAGCTGATGCCAGGTTATTTACTTTTATGATTTATCGCTGAACATTTTAATTAATAAATCGTTCTTTTTAACATTATAGCATCGGGATTGACCCAATGTATCCACACGTTTGTAAGACTGAACCCGTTCGACCTATTGATCGAATTCCGGTACCAAATGAATTTCAGTTTATTTACACACCAACACAATTAGCCAATGAATTAATAGCCCTACCTTGTTCTATGACCATGGAACGACACAATGCAATCATTTTTTATTATTTGATATTAATTGCTCGTGATTATATGATGAGAATGCGAAATGTATTTCAATTTTTTCTCAGCTCTTGCCTAAGTATTTCGTTAGCTCAAATGATTACTTCATTATTATTTCTACCACCGCTTATTTCACCTGGTATTGTTCTATGGCTTTCAATGATTGTCATACCATTCTTGAGCGTTTCACTTATGGGCATAAAACCAGATCCAACCGTAATGACTGTAGCTACCGGGAAAAAATTACATCTTAACAAAGAGGTAAGATTCAAATAATTATTTCTTATTTTTCTTATTAATCAATTTCGTAAAACACAGTCGATTGTTTATTTTTTTCTTTGCTACATAATCAAATTTACACCTTCAGTTGTTATTTGTGTGATTATGTTTGCCATCATAATTGGCACATCATGTGAACAGACCAAAGTTGGTCGATCTACATTAGGTCCATGTTGGATGTTTAGTGATCTCAAGTAAGTTTTCATCAAATTAAGTTTACTGAATTGTCATTTTACTTGATTATTTCCAAAGGGCTGATGGTGATATCAAAACGGATCTAATTTGGTCGTCTCACTTACTAATCGGACAAACTATTGCATCGTTGTTCTTGGTTTTATATCTGGGTAAGACCAATAAATTTATGGATGAAATGAACTATAATAAAGATTTTGAATCATTAAGTGATAATATCAATTGGTTTCGTGCATCGTAACCATCTTTTATGGCAACGATATCCATTCGTTAATTATTGTTGGTTGGGGACGTCAGTCATTTTGATCTTTTGTCATTTAATCGTCTGTTTGATTGAAATCTACATCTATGTGCCTGAAATAGAGATAACTGAACATTTCATCGAGATCATTCCGTTTTACATTTGGATAATTGGATTTTCTTGGCCAATTCTTTTGATGACAATCAATGTTTTTGCTAAAAGAAGAGAGATAAAGTATTGATTTAATTTTCAAGGTTTTTTTAAACATTTATTTTTTTTTCATTAGAATCAGTACTCGTCAACAACGTAGAGCTCGTTTAGATTTTGGCACTAAGCTTGGTATGAATTCACCGTTCTAATCACCCGATCATTTGTTGGATATCACCATTGTCATTCTCTATTACTTTACGAATGAATATCTTGCATTTTATAATCCTGTTTTCAAAATGTTCAATTCAAATCGTGATTTTGTCTACTAACACAAATCATCAAACACATTTTAACATGGACATTTTTCAATTGAATTTAATGATATACAATAAGAAGTGAAAGAAAAAAATAATGATAGCAAAGTCAATGTGAACATCAATTGATCAAATGTGAAAAATTCTTTTCGATTCATTATTCAAATTGTTTTCTTATTTTTCAATATATTGATGTACATTTATCCCCGCTAAATCTAAAGGGAGTTTTGTTTATATGTTGCAAATAAAAGATTGACAGTAAAAATCAATTTTTAATTTTTTTTGTGCAATTCAGACAGGCTTGAATCATCTCTCTCAATACCATCATCATCATTATCATTGTTTTCGACTACTTGATTGCTCATCAATTGGCTATATATCATAATCGGCGATTATTATGATAATGATGATCATTTTCGAAATCATTAGTTTTTTTTTGTTTCCTTTTAAATTATTCATTCCTATTTACAAGGCAAAATTATAATTGATTGGTTTTTAGTGTGATTATTCGTTCTATATGTTGAAAATTGAAAAAATGAGAAATACACGAACAGTAACATATTGATTGGCAAGATGATAATTTAACAATAGTGAGATTTTTCCAATTTTTTCACTCACATATCATTCAGACTGACCCTTTATTTCAAAATGTTTGCCAAATAACCCTTCCGAATGATGCAACCAAAAAAATTTTTTCAAACGAACAAAATCAATTTGTTGTGATTGCATGAAATGTAATAAATCAATAACAATGATAATGATTCAATTTTTTGGACTATTGATTTTTCAGAAATTTAAACCACATATATGCAATATTTGTGAACGGAAAAAAATCATTCATCTGAATCGGATTTGATTTATGATTTGATTTATAAATCAAACATCAAAAATGAATACGTTGCATCCCAGTGTTAGTAATGTAAATGAACACAATCAGTTTATTTCCATTTTTTAGATATTTAAATATGAAATTTTATTATGTTGACCATGAAAGTGGTAATTATTATAATCATATTATGAATGATATATCTTCTGTAAGATCGATGATGATTCAATCTTTTTTTACCAATGAAATTTCCAAAACTGTCATTTTGATTATGATCGATCATAATAATCAAGAATATTTACAGAATACAATTCAACTCTTTTGAGTCAAGTTCAAGGTTAAGCATCATAAAAACCCAAGAAAAAAAACGAAAAACAAAACACTTCTTAAAACAATGGAAATATCTTGAATGTTATTTTTTCGTGAAATAACTAACAATACGATCGATAAACCTCATACCTGAATCAATCAGAAAAAGAGAAAGAAAATAAAGTATAATTTAATGATGTATCTCATGAATTTTTTTTCATATGCAAAAAAGGATGTCTTAATAATTTTGATCGATGCATTGTCTTGATTGTGCTATACATAGTTATGATTACAATGAAGAACAATGACATAAAGTGAAAGGTCGTTGTGATTGACTTGTTTATTGAGTTGATTAACACTTTATATCTTTGAAAAAAGTATAAACTGTTTCCTTATTATACCTATACTGAAACATGTATGTTTGAAAAAAACTTGACGCCAAGTGGTACTGAAAATTGGACTTGAAAAAAACAATTCAAATCTTGAACTGTTTAAGTGACAAGCCTTTTCTTCGCAAATATTTTTTATGTAAATCTTAACTATTGTGACGAATCGATTATATGCGGAAGCAAAATTTATTGTTATATTTATATACACAAAAATTCACAATAATCATTCTATTCCAGTTATTATGAAAATAAAGGGTTTAAATCGAAAAGGTCATCGTTTTTGTTAAAGTACAAATGTTTAAATGAACTCTAAGATAATAAAAATGTATTTCCTAAATATAATCTTTTTTAGATTCTCGAAAATTCCTTATTTTTCAAGAAAAATATTTTGTTCATCAAAATTCATGACAAATTTTTTATTCAATCATCACATATAATATTTGAAATTTAATGATCAGACTGCATTGTTTGGAAATTCCGTACATTATTTTGTTATTGATCATTACATAATGATGATTTGTTAATCGAATCAGAAAAACAACAGGATAATTATCTATCTAGCTATCAATATTCATCAAAATATTTTGGCAAAAGACAAATTGAATAATTTGTAAACATATCAAACAAAGAAATTTCATTAATATCACCAATGAATAAAACTTAAATAGCAAATTATTTTCAATGAAAAGATTGATAGGACATCACAATGTTATTATTATATAATGTTTTTGAATTTTGTTTCGAAGCTTTTTATCAAGCCCAAGGGGGTATCAAAAAAAATCAAAGAACGTTTTCATCCAACATTCATACTTATACTGTGCAATTATTCATTTTGGCTAATAATGATCATGTCAATCATGATAGATTTTGTTTTTTTTTCTTCACGCTAAACATAGAATTATACGTCAGGGATCTGAAATTGAAATAATTCTTATCGATCGATTGTTGTTGATTGATGTGAAGAAAAATGAAAGAAGAAGATGATTGATTTGTTTTTTTCCTGGTGCATAGATGAATACATTCTAGACATTATTATAATGATGATGATGATCAAGACGAAGATGAGACCATTCTTTTATTCATTAACCCTTTGAAAACTGCCAGTTTACTGTACCATTACTATCATCATGAATAAATGACAATAACGAGAAACTGGAACTTGTTCTTCTTCATTTTACTTATTCATCATTATCATATTGATTGATCATCATCTATCCAACCAATATAAACGAAAGGGTATGCCCATCGTTTGGTCATTTGCGTATTCAGTCATTCTACATTCACATCACGCAAACATGATCGAATGAATGAATGAATGAACAAACAAGCAATTTTCATCATCAAGTCCAAACCTAATGGTTATTTTTATTATTCGTCCATTCTTGTTTTCCGTTCATTTGTGATGATCATCGCTTGACGAATAGAACAATCACCTTGAATTTAACCAATCATAATTTTGTTTTTTTAAAAATTGTTTTTTTTTGCGCGCGTATATATGACCCTCATCAACATCATCATCATTATCCATATTGTATCCGAAATTGTATGAATGGATAAAAATACAAAGCCAAATGACTATACTAGTCATTGATTAGAAAATTACATTCATCAAATTTTTAATGATCTTATCTCAACGGAGAAATTTTCATAAATCTAATTTTTATAATTTGAATTAAAAAAAACTAAATGAAAGTGTCAAAAATGTCAACTATTCAAGAACAAATGAACCAAAACACTCATCCTACAAATCGCAGACTATTCCGACGATTACATCTTATCATTTTATTGTTAATACTGATTGATTTAACATTTTCCTCTAAAATTCCCTCGAATAGACGTATGTAATTATTATTATTGTACATAATTGATTGATTTGAGAAAAATTCTTATAAATTTGTTGATAATAGCCAAAACAAATGATCGCCGATTGGTGAAAAAATCCCATGTAACTGTAAGACAGTTGTCCGAAAAATATGATCATTTTGTCAAACTTAAACCAAAAAAATCATTCAAAAAAACTCAAACGAGAAAAAGAAAAGGCACAAAATTACGAAAATCTAGACAAAATCTTAATGAGAATGTTGAATCTTCGAACGAAGCCAAAGATAATTCTACCATTGAAAAATTATTGAATCGAGAAAGTGAGATTAGAGTGCCATTACCTTTGCCTTCCGGAGAAATTCCATCATCATTACCGATTATCGATGACACTAATATATCGAATATTGAACTCGCATTTGCAAATAATCTTTCCTTGAAAGAATGTTCTAACGATACTCTTGTGAAAGATTTAGGGGTTTCTTGCCTAAAAAAATCTATGGACATGACACCACCGGAAAATATGGATGGTCGAAATGCAATATCTCGACATTTTAGTGTTTCTCCTATGATCAATAGGAAAATCAATACTTCAAATCAATTTAAGACTCCTGCCGACAATGGTAATTTTAATAATTGACAATCTTTAAACAAATATCGAATTCTTTGTTTTTATTTGGAATATAGCTCGATCAAAATATGCATTGAATGGTTATCGTGACCAGATAAAACCATTAAGACGTCCACCGAAAGTTCAAACAAGATTTCAGCCTACATCCCAAAATGATCCATCTAGACAAGAAATTTCAACACCTCTTTTTCCTACAAATCGGAATCCATTTTTGTCTAATGTGCCAAAGATTGAATTGGATCCGAAAATCAAAGAAGATTTAGAACTATTGAATAGTTTGAAATTGAATTTGGGTGTATTAAATGCGCAGGCATCCAATATTAAACAACGAACTAAACTTCTTTATGGAGAGGCAAGACGTAGAAAAATGATATTCTTTGATAGATTATTATTACGAACCAATAGGTATGTTACTTCAAATTGAACACAAACAAAATATGACGATTAATTTTTTTTGCAGCATAATTACCGAAAAAAGAGACAAAACAAGCCGTACTATCGATACTATAGATGTAACGATGAATCGAATGCGAAAACAGCAAACAATTAAAGCTTATAACAAATATAGACGAAACATGAGATTGATGGATCAAAACTTTGATCGATATCCAAATGGTATGCTCAAACCATTGCCTAAAGTTCCTGAAATTAATCAGACACAGATCGATCAATTGGTGACCGATTGTGAAAACCATTCAAAACAAATGATGGAAGTGATTAGAGAGCTGAACGAAGCCTTAGATGAATTTGAAGTGCAATTCAACTTTCCACGTTTTGAACCAAACTCGATCATCGATGAATATTTGAAAGATGTCGAATTATAAAATGAAATACAACCAATTTTCATTCCATTTATAATCACTTTGGCTGGTATCATTTGTAGTTATATAACAAAATTTGTTCTCTTCTTTTCATTTTATTTATTACATAAGCAGAAAAATCTTTTGTATAATCTTGTTTCAATAACAATTCATTTTTTTCAAATGAAATCATTTCTTCATTTCGTCTATTGTATTTTTTTCAATACAAAAGAATTTGATTTCAATCACATAAACCACTTGTTGAATGTTTTTTAGGCGTCATCTAACGTTTGTGGAAAAAAACTCAATTTAATTAATTTCAAAAAAGCCTGATTTTTCAAAAATTTTCACTGACACCAGATCGCACTGCAATCAATAAAATAGTTTTTGGTTAGAAGATTGAATTTGATTGAATGAAGATAATTTTAATTCATTGTAAAATGGAAGATTATTTTTATTGAAAAAAAACAATGATTGAATGGATTGTTTTATGAAAAGAATCGAAAATAAATATGAAAACAAAATTAACAATAAAATAATGAAGTTTTTGATCGGAACAAAATAAGTTATGCTGGCAAAAAAAATAAAGAGTTTGTGGTTTTTTTAGTGTAAGAATTTAGACAAAAAAATAGAGCATCCAAAAAGGCAATACATTTGTAGGGATGCAATTTCTTCAGAAAGTTTCAACAAGTCTCAAGATTCAGATAAATTTTTAACGTCGTTTATTATTGTCATTTTTGTTTTTCTCGATTATATATCACCAAAGTTACGATGAAATGGGTTTTTTGGAACCATTTATCAACATCACATTTATAACACGAAAGGCACGAATGTGATATATGAAAAACAATTGATCACCGTGAATTGTTGTTTGATGAACAAATGATAGGTATTGATGTGTAAATGGATGGATGAAAAGATCTGTCATATGAATCAGATGAAATGAAATGATCACAATGGTTTCAATATTTGAAAAAACATATTGGATGACCGAATTCAAGAACCTATGAAATTCTAAAACCCAATAATCATCCAAAATATGATATTTTCTTTGTGGTCATAAATTGATTGAATCATCCAAAGTGCTAGATCGATTACGTTGTCTGCATTCTTTGGCTGTCGAGCTTGAAGTTTTTGGATTGAATATTCGTTTTAATTTTAACATTTTCAGATGTAAAATGAACTTATGTAATAATTCCATATATTCTCGAGAATTTGATGAATTACAACGTTCAAATTGTGAATGATCATTTGTAGGTGATTTCGATTCATCTGATTCATCATCAAATGATGATTCAAGACTTTTATTAACTGGTGAATTTGGCAATGAAGAGGAATGGACCATCGATGATGAAAAGCTCGCATTTCGTTTTGATTTTTTCGTTTGCGTACGAATAGTCGATGGCAAGCGTGCACCTGTACATCGAATGAAATCATCTTCATCGACAATGTCTATGATACCATTATCAATTGATCCGGTACCGGCTGGAGCACTTGTCGAAAAAATCATAACCTGATCTAATGTCGGTGATTCACATTGTTCAATTGATTCTTCTAGCTCTAATCGTGCTAATTCTTCTTCATCTTCTTCAGCAACATATTCCGGTATCGATACTGAATAACTGTAAACACGATTTGTAATTGGATTACGTACTGTACGTCGTACATGAGGAAATAAACGTGTTGCATGATTCATACTTTGTGTAGATGAATATGAAGATGGTTTTTTCATCAATGAATGTCGCTGCTGTGCTAATTCACCTGTTTGGTTTTGTTTGGGTTGTTGCACTTGAATTGATTGTGATTGTCCTTTAGCACGACTAGCACTAGCTAATACAACTTTTGGTTTTGATTTCGATGATGATCTACCATTCAGAAGGACGATGCCATTCAAAACAACCTGGCTATTGCTGCCAGCAGCACTAGTAGATTTTTTGTTATTCGAATCGGATGAATGGCTAGTTGTACGACCACGACGATTAAGGTTATGATTTGAAGATCCAATCATAAAGCCACCACCACCATTATCATGATCATTGAAAGTTGATCGCGTATTGTAGATATCATAATGATTCTTAACCAAAGGTACCATGAACGCCATCGTTGTTGATAGTCTGATCAACCACGGAAAAATCTCGAAAAAACTTTAATTGATTGTTGCCAACGTGAAACTGCTATTGAATTGTTGCTTTTTATTGTTATTATTGATGGATATCGAATTAGTTTTTGATTTTTGATGTTTCATATGGGTATCGTTTCCACCAAATATATTCTGGATCATTCGTGTATCAAATTCCCGTCAATGAAAATGAAAAGAAAGAACTGAGAAAAGTGCAAAGAATATTGAGGAAAAAATTTGAAAAGATTGATTCACTTAAAAAGTGTTTCAATAATTTTTTTAGAAAAATAGATAATAAATTGATGAAGCTGCTATGTTACTGTTCGGTAAGACTGTATATAATCAAATACCGGCGATTGCCTGTAAAAGTTTGCTTTTTATCCTCAAACAAAAACAAGAAAAAACAAATACATCTACCATTTGGTTTCAAATGAATGTTTTACAAGTATCTTGCTCAAATAATGACAAAAAACAAAATCAAATGAACCAGCCCAGGCAGCCAATCATTGCAAGTAAGCAATTATTATTATTTTGTGTATATTCTACATGTACATTATCTATGTAGTTGTAGTGTAAGATGGGCTCCATCAACGTCATATTGCAGATATTATATAGATACCAGGGATATATAACCAAATCAAACCATTCTAAGTAAGCTAAAATAATCGATGTGAAAAAATGGGCAATGTAGAGGTAAACAAGTTGGCTAAGTTTGTATCACTGCATTCTCATTGTATAGATGTTTTTTCTCATGCATATTTTCGAGAAAAAGCTTTACGCGCCCATATTTAATGAATTGATCGAATGAAAGAAAACATTACCAATATTAAAAACAAATTTTATTCTACCGTTATCAATGATAATTCTGAAATATAGATTGATTGAATAATGTGTTTGCTGTATTTAAAAATGATTTTTAAAATAGAATGATGGTTATTTATTCTTGACATATTTGTGAAAAGTTTTTGCTATTTATTAGACAAATTTTTTTTGTAAATTTTTATAATCTGGTTGAAACAGACACAAAAGAGACGACCTGCCCCTTCAAAATATTTAGCTTTTCCTTTCTCCCCAACTTCTTTCCATACTATATGGCGATATACCACATACTATCCCTGCGGCTGCGGCATTTCTGGCTTTCGACTAACGAATAGATTTTTCATTGCCTTTGTTTGATGAGAGAATCCATGTCCATGAAAAAGTAGAAAATAAAACATTTCATCGATATATCATTGGAAAAATACATGTACATTGATGATAATGGTTGTGTATAAAATTTGGTTGGTTGAAATAAAAGAGCTGTTGTTTGGATACTATGAAGTTTTTTATGATAGTCATAATAATCATTATTGAAGGCGACAATGAGATTTTTCTGGTTCTTGATTTGCATTTGCGGCAAATAATTTTGAATTGAAAACCTTTTTCGTGTAATTAGCATTTTTTCAATGAGTTTTTTGACCAATGTTTCCGAAACATTTTATGTAAAACAACACTGTCAGACAGGTACATGTCAGAAGAACAGTATTCTATAACCAGAATCATATTGAATTTGTCATCATAAGAAACATATCAAATTTAACATCACCGAAATCCTGATAGTGTAGTTCCTTATTTGGGATTCAATCAGTATTTTAATGGATGATGTGATAATTTTTCAAATCATTCATTTATTCAATTAAATCAATTTATCACTTTATTATTTATTTCATCATATCGTTCACTTGGATACAAGATAATTGATTGAAGAAATAAAACAGCCGATATGTTTCAATTTAAATCGAATGATATCATCATTCATTAACAACATGGAAAACCTCAGCATTGATTAATAAACAAAATATCCATCTAAAAAAATTTTGATTAATAGGAAAACAAATCTTTGCTTGTTTTGAACTAAATTGATTCCTATGATCAATCACACTGAAAATCAAAACAAAATAAATGATAGAAAACAAATGATATTGAAAACAAATTTCGAGGAAGAAAATTTGATTCGATTTGAAACATTTAAAACCAATTAAGACTTGATCCAATGATTATCATAGCGATAAAAAAGACAACTGTTTTTCTTATCAATAAAAATTATCCTTCTAATCTTTTGGTTTGTCATGATTCGATTGGATGATTGATCTCGATCGATATATGTTTAAACATAACGATATAATTTGTACGAATAACTAATGTAAAACAAGAAAAGAATAGAAAGACAGAAGCTGATGTAATTGAACATCAAATTACATTACATATGTATTACCATTATATACGATGTTAAATTATGACGACATTTTACCAAACACTATTTTTAAAAAATAGTGACGTAGAGAAAATGAATGGGATTTTGTTTTACAGCGAATAATGATGAACACTATTATCATCAACATCGAATGATTTGCATAATCATGATACAATTACATCGACAAAACAAAACAATAATGATTATTTTCATATTCGGATTCTCTAATTTACTTGATGTTATAATTAATTCAAGAGCCACCTTAAACTATAGAAAAAATTTTATTTTTAGCTTTTCAACCAAAATTTTATGTTTGACAATTTTTCGAAAAAAAAAATTCTGAATGAAAAATGAAACTTCACAAGCAAAAAAATTCATTACATTCATAATATTCTAGATATGTTTTGATAAATTTACAAGATAAATATTTGGTTACAAAAAAAATGACAACAACAACAACAACAAAAACAAACGACACATTCCCTTACAAGTTGATCCGATTCTTTTCGTGATAGGATCACTATCGATGTTTTTGTTGAATTTCAGGGTTTGGTAATGAAATTTACAAAAAAAAATATGAAGGTCAAAAGAAATTGACTGTTGCCATGTCCATATTCCCACATACAATTAGGATTAGATTTGATCAACAACAAAAACAAAAATTCTATTGAAATTCTCAAAACAAAACAAATCGAAAACAATCTAATGGCGAAAAAAACATCCGATAATAAATTCAATAAATATTAACGCCAATAACAAACATACATAGAAATCCATGTATGTATGATCATCCTGATACTCGTTTTATGTTTTCAATGGTCAAACATAATGAACAAATGACATTGAAAGTGAAAATCCAAGAAATTAAATGTGGAATGAAATCGTACTGAATAACAATAACAACAACAACAAAAAACAAAAACATATTTATCAAATAAAAAATAATTTTATTACTGGAGCAGTTTACTGACTTTTACAACGAGATGATGTCTAAGGCTATTATTACAAATTATAAAAATTAGAAATATTTAAAGGCCAAATAATAGTTTATTATTTCGCAAACAAAAATCCTTCACTTCTAATGAGACTAGTAAGATAATCGGGATGATGATACAGAATAGATTGGCATTCATGTGGCAATATAGTAGGATAATGTTTTCTATGACAATAATTTTATTAGTTTTTTGTTGTTTTTCTAGCAGCATTCCTACGTAAAATGAGATTGCAATGATAGTTACAATAATTGTTTTTGATTTAATGAATGTAAAATGGATTACGTGACGTTAAACATCCACACACACACACAAACAAACAAGAATGTTTTTTCGGTAAAAGTCATTCGTAGAAAATAAAATAACCGCGGTCTATCAAAATTTACATACAAAAAAAATCATTTTTGACAGACAGATTTAGTATGGATGGATACGTATCATTTCCGTTGTTTATGACGGAAATGTTTTATGAATTATACAACTATATTTTTGACTGAGAAGTTCATCACCATTCATTGTCATTAACATTTAGAAAAAAAAATGAAAATTCAATTATGTTCTACTCCTACCTTTTTTAAAATGATTGTTTCATTTTTTTAAAAAAATGTACCTATACTTTTTTTTCATAAACCAGAACAAAAATCGGAAATGTATTTCGATCGACCAAGACCTTATAGTGAGTAGACATTCCAAGGCCATTTTTAATAAAAAAAGAAATAAGCATGGCTGATATTTTTATCCAATAATTCATAAAATAAAATCCTGTATATAAAAAATCGGTGAAAAGTTTTAAAGTTGACATATGCTATCTTGCTTCGATGAAATGTGGTTGTATAGCAGAAATTTTCCACAAAAAAAATTTCCAATCGCCAAAGAAAAAATAATTTTTTTTGTTGTAATTATTATCTTGATGTTTGAATTGTTTTTCTAGTTCGAAAAACAAAACAATTCAATTTCATAATTTAAACAGGTAATTTTCCAAAACCTTGTGCCTGTAATAAATATCAATATTGTATAATTAGTCTAATCCTATTCATTATATAAACATTATGATGGTGCTAAATATGTAAATAATATTCAAATAGAAAAGTGATCTTAATTGTTTCATCGATCAATGATCTATGATGATTGATTCACATTATCAAATATAAAATTATTGTTTAAAAGGGTGCATCGTACCATAGAATATAATATTATATAACCACAATGATTCAATTACTAGATTTAAACATAAAGCAGATACATATACACATTCGATTACTCATGTCATATCGATTGCTAATATCAATCAAATCTTTTTTTACGCATATATGCAGGAAAAACAAGAAAAAATGCTTGTCATTCGAATCCAAAAACAAAACAAAAACAAAAAAAAAACAGAAAACAAACAACATAATAATATCGAGAAATATTATAATAACAATAAAAATAAAGTGCAATAAAAGGTCATCATCATATTTATCTTGTGTAAAAGGTGGTGATTATATTAGAAAAAACAAACACTATTATCGGATAAGACGAAATCATAATGATAATGATAAATATTTGTGAAATAAACTAAGATCTGTAATTGGTTAGCAACCATGATTAGTTGTTATTTTTTCTTTGACCATAATCAATGAAAATTTACCGAATTGAAAGTCAATTTTTTTCGGTTGCTATGTGTGACGCACTTCTATCTTATTTTTACACTTCTACCTGATTTATTCAATTTATCTTCATTATTGTCAGCATCACTCATCCATACAATCAACAACAACAAAAAGAAAAAGATGAAAATTGTCTAAGCAGCCACAATTACTATAATAGTTGCCATCAATTTCCAAGAAATTCTTAAAAATTTATATCTACAAACCATGTATAGTTGATTAGAGTGGTCTTTTATTATGGCCAAAAAAAATCTTGATAATTGGTAAGCTTTTTTGTACCAAATCATCATTATGCACAGACATAAAATAATAAAGACAAAGGAAAAAAATTACAATGAATAAAACCACTAAATGGCATCTGAACTATTTATTGGACTAATAAATTTACTCTCGTGTTGGACTTTGTAAGTGTACCAGAAAAAAAGAACAAAAAAAATCAAAAGCTATTTCTACTAATTCAAATAGTCAGTGTGTACGGAACAGACAAACAAAAGTGAACGTACTGTAAGGAAGAAAGAAAATTTGGATTTCCAGTTCAACTTTATTGATTGAAGAAATAAATAACTGAATTGTTTATTCTAACAAAGTTTTTTTATGATTTCATTGCCATTTGTAGTCTTATTCCGGTGGATTAAGAAAAAGAATTCGTATCGAGCTAGATAAGGTGTTGACTTGATTAATGACGCCCATCTATGATGTTGATGCCAATAAAGAAAAAATAGTTAAAAATAGAACACAATGTTTATGTAGAAAGAATTCCTTCTATCGTCTATGCGCGTTAATAAACAATGTCAAATATTTCCAAATTTTGAAAAAAATGTGGCTTAAGATAGAAATCAAACATTTTAAGGGTAGTTAAGAATTTTTTTCCATCAACAAAAAGAATAAACAACTTCAAACTTAAACATTTCTATACGGCATCTGTCACCTTAACGATCATCATGTGATAATTTTAATTTTGTCCATGTATAACGCCACTAAATCAGTGAATATTGTTTACATGAGAATTAGATTTTTTTTTTTGTTCTAAATTTCAAATACCAGTAAAGTAAAATTGAATCAAAAAATCCCAAAGTTTTCAAGGTCCTTATTTACACAAACACAGACATGTTCGGTGCATCTGAACGAATCAGATAAATGGAAAAAAATTCAGAGCAAATTTTGGGAAAAACTCTTGAACTCGAAACATTAACATCATTTTGACATTTTTACAAATGATTGTTGTTGATATTTTCGTTTTTTTTTCTATTTGTTTTGATCAAATAATCAATGATAGGCTTCGTAATTGATGGTCTAATCACATTAAGGAAAACGAAAAAAAAAACATATCTATCAAATCGAATCGAATGATGTGTTCAATAAAAATTGATGATTATGATGATGACAACCCAGAAAAAAGATTGTTTTCATATTTTTAGGCATATCGTCATTATCATCATTATCAATATGTTATTGACAATAATAAATATATCGACATAATCATAAGACCTGATGCAATTCAATTGGTATGATGTTGACATAAATTTTATAGTCACAAATTATTTTTTTCACTTCTTCGCTCTGTTCTTAATTTTCCTTTATACGTAATTGTTAATTTAGGTAAAAAATAAATAATAATACAAGTCTCGTGTGTTTATTTGTTTTTTTCTCAGCAGCATACAAAGATTATATCTTTACATTTATCTAACGAAAAAAAATCGAGGAAAAAAAATCTTAGGATAATAAAATTTTCTGTGTTAATCTACCTAATGGATTGAAAATTGTATAGTTGAAGAATTTTCTATTTTTATCAATTCTCGTTTACAAATACGCCTTGAACTTGAATGAATAATCAACAATAGAAAATGTCAACAAATTAACAAACAAGAAAAAAAATGTTGTTTTTATTCTATTTCAAGGTGAATTGAAAAATAATTTTAGTTTTTTCCATTGAAAAAATATGCATTAAAATTTTATTGCTTTTTTGAAATTTTTTTCTGCTGATCTAGACAAATTAAACCTGACATTTATTGATTGATTGATTGATCTATATGGATCGATCAGCATTAATTTGTGTCCGTACATTTGGAGAAAGTGAAGTAAATTTTTTTTTTGATGACATATTAACAATATTAATTAATGTCGATAATTGATGTGAATATTATGCAATCAAATTGATTTGCGATAATATGGATGAAAAATTATTTTCCAAGTTTCTACTATCTGTAAATGAATTTTTAATTATTATCAATGACGAATGATAACGAAAAAAAAATTGTTTGTCAATAACTTTTCTCTACAATATCACCAGATTTTTTTTCATTTGTTTTTCTTTCCATATAAATAAAAATGAATTTTTTGTTTTTGTTTACAAAGATTTGTTTTTGAAATCAAAAACTACATTATTCTTTTTCTTTTCCGCCTTTAGGCTCTTTTGATTTTTGTTGTTGTTGTTATTATTAATTGTGCTCTATATAATTTTGTTTCCTTCATTCAGAAAAAAATCCTACACCATCATTATATACTTTTTTCCAAGGAATTCGAGCATCATTCAAAGAAATACAATATTTCAAATAGTGGTAATTAATAAAAAATAAAAAGAAACTTTGTTATCATTGTGCCCATTATCATCGCTGATGATTTGACTTAGTCCCAATCGTTTTTAATTGATTAGATAAAAATATGATGCAAAATAATAATTCTGAAATGAAAAAAAAATCAAACTTTGAAGACAATTTTTTCAAATAAACTTGAAATGGAATGTTTTGTTGTTGTTGGTTGTTTATAACAACACAATCATTAGATTCAGATACATGTATCAGTTATGTTTGAATTTCATAAAGTTTTTTTTATGATTTTCAAAACAATCTATCAAAGCAATAATAATCCTATTATATTGTATCCTAGGAATTATAAAAAAAAATAACAAACAAATCAAATGTTTTGTATAAACCTAAAATGCATTCGAAAAAAGAAAAAATTGGATCAAGGAAAGAATTGTTTGCCTGAAATAAGATAGGAAAAGATTCAATTCTATCAACATGTGATGTGATAAGTGAAAAATTTGGAAAAAAATAATTTATCATTACGAAAAAAGTGAAATAGAAAAAACCATCAATCACGTGGTTCATTTGTTTGGATTACTGTTCGATACGAATAAAAGTAGCCTACGTGATGAAATGAAAACCATATAGATGTAGATAGATCACATCGTTTTATATGATTTATTCGATAAAAAAATTTAGATTTTTTTGATCATAAATAGAAAAAAAACTATGTATACAATTTGAACACATGTCATGAGTGAAGAAGAAAAAAACCAACCAAACACCAGATATTGATATATTTAGAAAAAAAATCGTTCACTGTAATATGACATTCAAAATGAGAAAAAAAGTTTCATCCTGGAATTCACAGTAGAAAGATACATTCCATGTGAAACAAGATGTTCGAATTCACATGATGATGATGAAATTATCGAATGCAAATAAAGTTTATGCTAAGAAAAAAAAATCATATCATATCAATTCGATATTTAATAAGATGTTTCAATTCAATCATACAAACATACACAAACTCACATGATTAAAACACAATCAAATCAATGTTATTTTTTCTGTCTACAATACTGCATTAAAATGATGTTGAATCTTTTTTACAAGACAATGGCAAATGTGTACAAACAAAATTCATGTCAAACAAAATGATAGTTCAAGTACGAAAAAAAATCAAATCAAATGAAACTTAGATATATCTTTCTTTTTTGTTGATATTGAAACTTGATGAATGAAATCACAGAAGCCAAGTTATCATAACAGATGAGTAATACTAGAGTAATTAATCATGTGATTGAAGCGAAATAATTGAAATAATAGAACCAAATGGAAATACAGGTAATTAAAACTTGTGGTTTCCAAATGACTGGGCCAAACAATTGTCAATTTTTTGAAATGGAAACAATCCAAGCCGGGTATCAATAGAAATACCATGAAGAATTAACTGCTATCGTATTTCAACATTCAGTAGCATATGTAATTCTTAATAAATGCAAATCATTCGATCGATAATCAGGATGTAGCTGCTCATTGGTTATGGCTTCACATTTTAAATGCTTGAATTGATTCAATTTCTATTGAGTAAAAAACATCATCATAATTAGTGGTAATGGTCATCAATACATACTTGGAAAAAATCATTGCAAATTTGCATTTTTTCATGACGATCCTCATAAGAGATCAGAATTCGTAGACGAGTGTGACTTTGTCGGCTGATCAATGTTTCGAATGTCCACTTGATAAATTGAACAAGGGCTATCATTCCTTGTTCATAATAAAGACAATCCGATATGAGAATATAATCAATTTCATCAAGTGTTTTCCAGCGCAAAAATTCCCATTGAAATTCTGATCGGTCGAACCAATCGAATGATTTAACTAGAACATTTTCTTCACCTTTAAATAATGATGAATTTCCAACCATGTTTAATTTAATCAAAGGGATGCCAGCCTGAAGATCAGTCAACATGACTGATGCACCCATCGCAGCACACCATATTCCAACGAAGCCGGTACCTGAACCAAGTTCAATTACGTTCAGATTTACCATTGATTGTCCATGACAATGACAATCATATTCGAGATATTTGGCCAATAATATTGCGGCATCCCAAACAACACCTGATTCATCAGAATCATATTTTTGTATAATAGTTACAGAAGGATTTTCGTCATCGGATTCCGTAATATCATAATTAACAGCTAATTCTGGATGATCAAAATAAACCTGACGGCTGAAATAATTATTATCAAACATTCGTGATTCAAAGTTTTTTATTACATACAGAAAAAAAATTAGAAAAACAAAGAAATAAAATTCGAATGCAAGCAGACTTCGCAATGAATCGAACGAAAATAAAATAAATGTGTAAAAAACATTACATTGAAAAATGTGTCGCCATCTACTGTTGGCGGAAAATCGACAATTGATTTGAACATTTTTGCAATTAGAAAAAATTAAAAAAGAAAAACATAGATACCAGCCGAGCCGGAGATTAGGTAAAAAGTTGGTGAAGCTTTAATTGAATCATTCATTCGTTTTGGCTGCAGTTACTAAGATCTCCGATGATTGTTTTTGTGGCCGTACGGTACTAATATCTGATTTATCAGTAATAAAATCTAAAAAATTTTTATCAATCGATGCACCACTTGGATCATCCAATAATTCATCCCAATTAATTTCATATCGAAATACTTCACGTTCAAGCCATATTTCATAATTCTTTTTGAATTCTTTGCTCAATCGTATTTCTTTGCTTAGCACTGAAAGTAAATTATTGTCCACTGGTTGTAAAAGATCAGCTTCGGCAATCGATAAAAGCGCTGGATTTATGGATTGTTGTTGTGCATTAGCTACTTGATTTTCCGTTGTCGTTACGTTTGAATCGAAAAAAGTATTAGCCATACCTGTAGCCGATGGACTTGTTACTGATCCGTTTAATCCATTAGATATATAATCATTCAATCTAACGCCACCGTTAAAATGACCAGACGTAGTTTGGGAAAATGAAGTTTGTTGTTGTGATGCTATTACTAAATTTATATTATTCGGATATGGTTTTTCATAGCGACGATGATGGAAACGATTAATATTTGCTTGCAGAAAAAATTCTTCCGTTTGTACATAGATGGACTTGGTATCCACATCATTGGCGAACGCCCAATCATCATTTCTAAAAAAAATACAGAAAATAAACTTAAAAGAAATAACGGAAAACAAACAACTTACAATCGATGTCTAACTTTGGCATAAATATCTGACATTGTTTTCATGTTCGATTTACGCCATTGTCTTCCTAAAAATTTAGCCTGTATTTTTAACAATTTTAATACATAAAGCTGAAACATTGAATGTCGTACACGTAATGCTCGTTTTAATGGTTGTGATGATTTAAATAAGACCAACATTATAATACGACAATTTTTCCATTTAGTCAATTTATTCAGTATTCGAAGAAGATTTATCGATGAAAACATATTACGCCAACTATATGGTTGCGTTTCGGACAACAATTCAATCGTATCGGATGTAAGCTCTGGCTGTTCACCAATCACACAAGCTGGAAAATCCAATACTGGTATATTATTTTTTGATTGTACAAATTCTGTCATTTCTTGTGATAAAAATTTGATTATTAAAGGTATACAATTGGCAAACATCAATTGTTGACATATGTATTCGAATTGATAGATGTGATTAATTTTGTAATGCTTCAACATTAAAATCATTATACCCGAAATGGCTTTGATTATTATTTCTAGATGTCTATTCACATCGATTTTCATTTTTATTGATTGTGTTGTATTGATTGGTGGTTCTGGTGGAATTATATCGGCCAATACAATATGGGTATCATTTTTTGATTTCAAGTTTGATACTGAACCGAGTAATAATTTCAACAATGCAATTAGATATTGTGGTAGATTTGGCAACATTGTTCGATATAGCTGTTCAGCATATGAATTACATGATTCATCATCCAATTCTTTCATTGTTAATGGATAACGAGCAATTTCATCTTCACGTTTAATTTGCATTTCACTTAACGATATGTATAAATGCTTTCGTAATACTTCAATACTTTCAAGAATTGGTGATGGCAAACCAGCTGTTGTCGTATAATCATCCGGAAGATTATATTTCAGGAATTTTTGCCTTACTTGATTAAAAAATTGTTCAATATCTTTTTGCCGCACTTTTGTTTGCCAAGGAAGACCTTTTGAAATCATTAAAGCTGCACGTAGATTATTCAATTCTGTACGCCGATCATTATTATGTAAGCCATCAGGTACAGGACTAGATGATCGAGGTGAACCGCCATTCTGTGATGATGGTCTTGGTGTTGCTGGTGAATCATAAATCGGGTCTTTCTGATCAGAATTTCCGTTTGCATCGTTAGAATTACCATCATTATCATTGGGAGGTTCAAAAGCATCATCATTAAGAATGTCATCTTCACCATTTGCATTAGATTCATCCCCATTGAAATTTGTAGATGCTGTATATGATTCATCACCAAATGAACTTTGTTTCACAACTGTTTGTCGTTTAAATGGACGATTCATCTTGCGTTGATTTTGCGAATCAACCATTTCACTAGCAGTAGGTGGCGGTGATGTTGGAAACATTCGTCGGGTAACTTCTAACGTATCATCCGGCACAGGTTTAAGACCAGCACGCTTACGGTAATGATTTTTCAATTGAAGCAACTCATCATGTCCACCCAATGTTAATAGCAAAACTTTCCAAAGTAACAATAATGTTTTCTTCGTCTGAAAATTTGGCGGTCCTTGACCGTTACAATGTTTAACAATCATATCTAATAATGATATTGGCAGAATTTCACCACAAATCGGCTGCATCAATTCTTCTTTAAATTGTTCACGTAATTTTCTATGGTAATCGGTATCACTTTCACTACATTCGATGGACATTTCCTGTACAAATAAATAGACAATATTGAATAATAATCGTAAAGCAACGTTTGCATGGCAAGCTGTATTTGTCGTCAAAGTAATTGTAGTTACTGGTTGCGATGATTCATTTAATTTCATAGAATGTTCAATTTCATAATAAATCAATTGGATAAACATCGGAAAAAGACCATAATCATAAAGATGAAATATATTTTTTCTTGCATATTTAGGCTGCTCATCAATGATCAGACAATCGCCAAAATTTCCTTGACATAAATACAGTAAGCCACGAATAGCGCGAATTCTATTGGTACGATCAGTAAATTCAATACCTTCTGCCATTCTTTCGATAGCACGATGTTTTTGATCTTCAGACATATGGGTCCATTTTAATGGATAACCATAATCTTCCATTAACTCTTCAAATGCGAATCGATTTGGTAAAAAATCAACATCTTCACCATAGCTATAAAGTTCGGCAATTTCATTCAAATGTTGATCAGTATCCGTATAGACAAATTCAATGTTAGAGGAATGATTTTGTCCGGGTATAGATGAGCCGAACAGCGGTACATTATTAACAATACGATCATTTATGACGGACATTGATGAGCCATGAAAATTTTCATTATTGTCAGCCATTTTTTACAATTATCACAAATTATGTTAGAATTGAAAATTATTTAGTTTGCAGATCTAACTATCGAAATTGAAAAAAAATCAAAACATGACCACAAATTTGCACCATCGGTTACCTTGAGCAATTCATATCCACACATTATATTGGTCGAAATCGGTCGTTTTTTTTGGTTTTGTTGATTAGATATTTTATTTAAAATTTTTTTAAAACCATAACAAAAAAAGAGTGATGTGACCAAGAACAAATGACAATCGATGACTATTTAGACCGAATCGGTCTTGTCATGTGGTCCATGTTGTTTGCATGTAAAATGAAGTCTTGTTAGGCATATTATGAATTAAATGAAACGATAAATGTTTACATTTCGGATATTTTTCTTTGTGAAGGGTGACCGCCCATTTTCTGTAATCTAGTCTGGTAATATCTTCTTTTTTATTACATATGGATTATCCATTTTCAATTGGATTCAGCTTAAGTCTTGGATTTAGTTGATTTGTATTTGAAGACTCATCATATCAAAATGTTTGTCGTGAACCGGATTTGTCGTTTATCATTATTAATTACTGTTTTGAATCAATTTGAATTAATTTCGTCGTATCATGAAACGTCAACAACAACAAACGAATATCTTTTACCTACCATTCAAATTGTTCTATTAATTCATCCGTATAATAAAGCACAATTTTTACCTCATTGTCTTGGCTCTATTGAATCACAAAAATATACAAAAAGTCGTATCAGAATAAAGTTGATCACTGAAAGAATATTCTATGATGAATCAAATGATCCTTTATATAGAGAACCTGATGATATTGATGCCATATTGGACGAACATATCCGATTAAATGAACAGACAATTCGAATGTTGAAACGATGGTTGCGTGAAAATGAAGATGTTTACAATGATATTGAACTGTCGATTGTCAATATTCGATTGACGATGGATTCTCTTAATTCAGTCACGTATTGGAATAAAGATCATTATAGTCGTTTGATTGATTATAAAAATTTTGAATTATATCAATCATTTTTAATATGGGCTGATTGGCTCATTTTTCTCGATGCCGATGTTATCCTGACCAATCCAATGGTATTTCGTAATATTACCTCATCGGATCAGGTGGTCATTGCCCCGATGCTTAAATCATTCAACACATACTCAAATTTTTGGGCCGGAATGGATGATACCGGTTATTATATACGTTCGGATGATTATCTGCCAATATTGGAACGTAAACAACCTGGAAAATTTTCTGTTCCTATGGTGTATAGTTGTGTATTTATCAATTTACGAAGAACTGCATCAAGGCTATTGACATTTGATCCGTTAGAAATACAGCAGCTTATCGATGAGCAACAGACTAGTTCATGGAAAATTCCTTATGATGATATAATCGCATTTGCTAAATCGGCTACATTAAATGGAATCGAGTTATATGTAGATAATAGTGAAATTTGGGGCTGGTTACCATTGCCTATTATTGAAAATAAATACTCTTATGAGCTAACACGGCAAACTTTAATCGATTTAGAGCTAGAATCATTAATAGAAGGACCATCATTTCCAATATCATCATCATTGGAACAATATGTTGAACGGAGAGAAAATTTTGATACATTGGGTGTTGATCAAATCTTTGTAGTGAATCTTGCACGACGACCTGAACGTCGTAAAAGAATGGAACAATGTCTGAATCTGTTAGGTATCAGGGCTAAATTTAAAATGGCAACTGATGGTAAAGAATTGAGTGAAGAATTTCTTCGAAAACATGGAATCCGTGCCCTTGATGGTTATGTTGATCCATATCATAAAAGGCCAATAACATTTGGTGAAATTGGTTGCTTTCTTTCTCATTTTCGAATTTGGGAAGAAGCTCACCGAGAAAACTATTCTAAAGTAAGTTTATTTATTGTTTGATAAATCTTCAATTTTTTCTATTTTATAGATAATTGTGCTTGAAGATGATGTTCGTTTCGATTGGAATTTTCGTTCACAATGGTTACAAATTTTGGATCGCTTTGAAAAATTATCGAATGAATATGATTTTCTTTATTTAGGACGAAAACTAAATGATGGTGAATATGATAAAGAAGAAATTATAGATGATTTATTTGTGCGACCACGTTATTCATATTGGACAATTGGTTATTTATTAACTCGAAATGGTATTGAAAAATTATTACGATCAAATCCAACAAATCGTATGATACCGGTTGATGAATTTTTACCAATTATGTATGGTTCACATATTAATGAAACATTAACTAAAATGTTTCATATAAAAAATGAAGAAAAACTAAATGCCCTAAGCTTAAGACATTTGATTGTTTCACCAACACATTATGTTGGTGATCCATTATACGTAAGCGATACGGAACAATCGGATAAAGTGGATTCAAATAATGACGAAAAAAGTTCATTACAAATCGATGTTGATTTTGATGAACGAAAATTAAATAATCACGATAAACATGGAAGATGGAATATTCAGCCACCACCATCAGATGATGCTGTAAAAAATATTCAACATTTGGATTTGTAATTTCTATATATAAAAACAAATAGCTTTTCTTTTCTAGTCTTTTGAATCTAATTTAGATTCATTTTATTAATATAATAATTGAAAATCAACCGTAGAAATTTGTTAATAATAATAGATTTTTTATCTGAAGAAAATCTTTTTTTGAATGAAGAATATCTGCTTAATGATGTTTTGATTTTTATTTCATAGCAAATATAATGATAATAATCCAAAAAGTTAAGACATCTAATATTTTCTGTTGGTTTTTGTATCCTGAAACCGTAAATCCGATTACGAGTGAAAAAAAATCTTATTTCAAAAAAAAGAAAGAAAAACATTTCTTATAAAGAATAAAATCCTAAAATTTTACTTGGAAATTTTTTTTTCTTGTTGGCTCTAACTTACGGCCATCTTGAAATTTGAGAATGATCACTAAGAATGAATGAAATTCTCATTGTTACAGAATTATTTTTGACAGAATGAAATAAAAAACTTTGTTTCTATTTTAACTCAACAAGATCTGATTATTTTCATTTTTTCTATTTGACCATCAGTTCATTGAGTATGAGTGGAATTTTTTTTTCTGAAGAATATTTTGAATTATTCGTTTTTCATTAACAAGAATTCTAATAGGATGTTTGATGTGATAAAATTTTTGTTATTTTTAGATCGATAAACAACTCTGACCCAGCTATCAATGTAAATGTATTTTCAGTTTTGTTCTTCCGTTATCGTCGACATTAATGACGACTTAATGACGTTCATCAGTTTTTTTTCCTGTCGATGTTTTTTCAAGATGTTTATCCATTTCTTGTTGATCTTTTATGTTTGAGAATTATTTTTAGCAACCATCAAACGTAAAAATAGCTGACCTAACTGCTAACAATGTTTTTCTTTTACGGTGTTTTAATAATAAATTTTGCAAATAAAAAAAAGGTTCTGGACAAATTCTGGTTATTTTTAACCACTAGAAAACAATAAGCTAATAATAATAATAAAATAGATAACCGGAAAAAATAGAAATTCATTATTAAAATCATGACTTATCTAACAAACTTTATAATACCATAGTTACAGAGACCCGTAGATAGATGAAGCGCAAGATCAGTGATTCAGTTCCAGAAACAAAAACAATGAAAGAAGAAACTTCCACATTGCCATTTTTCCAAATTCAACTAAGTGAATAAATGTATATTTTTCTCTATGTAACCAAACTTTGAATTATTATATTGGCTGTTTCTAAATTTAGATTCACATCATCATCTTCATCATATATACAACAAACAAAACCAGAAAAAAAGGAAAATAGCAATCTACGGCGCAGTACGAATATTCTGATTTTCTTTTCTTTAGCTTGTTTTTTTAAATTATGTGAATCATGAGACTTTAATTCATCATAAGGCCCTGTAAATGTTCCAGAATTCTTAAATAATCAACTATCACAAGAAAAACCAGCTCACAAGATTTACATTGCAAAACATTTATTCTTGAATTTCTTTTCAAGTTTAGGTTTTTGGAAAATTATAAATAAAGTTAATTGGAACAAAAATAAGTTTTCTGTTTCTATATGAGTCCGATCAATAAAGGATGATCTAATTTAATCAAAATTTCCCAGTGAAAAAAAGTAGTGAGTCAAGTCATTTTTGCAACACTCTGATGACCTACGCCCAACAAACAATCAGTCGCCGTCGTGTTCCAAAGAATTGAAAATCAAAAAATTCTAAAAATAGAATCAAACACCCCCACCATATGATGATGATGATCCGTATGTAGGTTCCATGAACCGACATTGTGACAGACCAAAAAAAAAGAAGAAAAGGAAAAATTCTGTATCGAATCCTGCGCGTGTAATCTATATGGTCGATTCTATCTAGGTTTTATTTTTCCATTTTCTTCTTCCCTTTCGGTACAATATTCGAATATGCGAACAGTGTGTGTGTGTAAAGAAAAAAAAATTCTAACTGATAAAATTTATAGATCTATATGTGTTGTGTATAAAAGTCAAAACCCGAATTATAATTCAAAATAGGCTAAGATTGAATATGGATGTGGAGTGCTAAAGTCTAACATTGTTTTGGGACCGAATTTCACCAATTTCTATTATCATTTTTCTCTTTTGCCCATGCTTGATAGTTGTTTTTTTTTCATTTGGTTAGGTCGCTGTTCTTAAAATAGAATCCAGACAAACATAGCCATCACATTTTATTGATCGAAATGATAGTAAAAAAACTAGGTTGAATTTGAGTCATCACATACACACGCATACACAACCTACTAGTGTTTGAATTTGTTGAAAATCAGAGAAAAAAAATGGAGCAGAATTGTAAAAAAATACTTGATGGATAAAATAAAAAGAATGAAATAAAAGGCAAAAATAAATCCAAAGTCGTGGCATTGAAGATTCCTTTTTTTATCCACCAACGCATCATTGAAATGTTTTGCTTTCAGGAAACTTTTCAATGTTCATGGAATTTTTTTTTCGATATCTTTTGAGCAAACCTATATGTTTTATACAAATATTTAATGCCATTTGATTAGAATTTTTATAATTACTTGAGCCTTGACAGTAGTTGGTTTGCAAAGAAGAAAAAAAAATGTTATGAAATTTCGTCTATTTTTTCGAATCCAAAAAAGTGGAGCAATTCAAGTGATGAATGAAATTAAAGTTCTTGGATCTAAAGATAGATATGGTAACAACAACAAAATAACAACGAATTATAAGAAAGAAATTTATGAACCCAGAAACTAAATTCGTATATAATAAACGGGGCGAAAAAAAAACTGAAAACGGAGATAAAAAGGATGGACCCGTCGTCAATTCTTGGAATTTTCATAAAAACACAAATAGCTGACATACATTTTCTTCTCTCTGTAACTGTAATGATCACAAACCATTTTTCTTTTCATTTTGGTTCCATATACTGACAAATTTATTTGCTTTAACGTTAGTTGAGCTTGAATTTATTGAACATCCATAATAATTGTGCTAAATATTCAGAATCCAGAATTGATAAACAGGAAAAAAAATTTGTTGTTTTTATTCTACTTTACGTTGGAAAATATATAGTTTAATTTTTGTGAATCCGATTTTTGGTCACAGAATTAATATATTCATCCAATTTTTTTTTGTCTTTTTTTTCAATTGTAATAAAATTACAAATAAACATATGATGATGATGATGATTTGTAATAATAGAATGAAAAGATGATTACGTTTTAATGTCATCAATTGATTTGGTTCAATGAAAGCAAACATACACCCACACACTTTATAATAATCATTTTAAAAAAATTTTCTTCATTTTCTTTGAACAGATACATAATATTTATCTTCAAGGTTTTTTCTTTTCTTAATGAATTTGTAATTCAAATAAAAAAATTTCATATCAGATCTCTCACTCTCTTATTTTTGTATGGGTGTTTTTTATTATATTTTTTTTTGTCCTTCCTTTTCTTTATTTTCAACATTTCATAATTTATAACTTATAAAAAAAATGAATGAACCAAAAATGAACAAATGATTATCATGAATAAAATCTTGATCCAATTACACAATCAAACAATGAAATACTTTCCTAAGTAGATAACCAGAAAAAATATTAACACAAATATGAATCATTTCATATCAAATTCCAAATGTCATCATTATATTTTTTTTCAATCCATCAACTCTTCATTGTTTATTTTTTTCCAATTTAATTACAAATGTCAAAATGACAATCGAGCTGTGAAAATCATTGATCAGTTTAAAAAATTAATCGGTAAATTGAATATAACGACGGTTGACGAATTCCACATAAATAACTATTTATAAATGAATGCAAAAAGAATGAAAAGAAATGCGATAATGAAAATTATTTATTTCGGTTTTTTTTTATTTTGCAGAAAATGACTCGTGATGAATTCGAGTAATAAAAATAGAATCTATTCTTGTATTCAATACTGTTTTTGTTGTTGAATTCTCTTTTTCTATTTTTTCTCCCTCTCTGTAAATTGTATGTCATTTAATTATTATCATCCTAAAAAAAGAGGCTGATGATGCTAAACTAGGATTATCTATTTTTATCCACAAGATTCTTTCATTCATCATTGTTGTAAGAACCTAATGTTATTTCTTCATTTATTTCTTTTATCATATAAAATATTCACGTTTAGGTGTGATACTTCCTTGATCTTTCATAGGTTTTCTATTTTGAGATTTTGATTTGACAGATGATAGAATTAAGAGAATGATATTCTGAAGAAAAAAAAAATTTTGTCATCGATTCCAATGTACCTGAGTTGTGCTTAAAAAAGTGTTTTTTCCTTCATTTACATGTCTTATTTACTTATGTTACAAAAATTTTTTCATCTAAATTAACTAATAGTCAATATTTTCTTTTATTTGAAAAATTGAAAAGAAATGAAAATATTTATTCTCAAATCATCACTGTTTCAGTTTTTTGGTTAAGTTTTCATCAACAACATTTTTGATGTTGTTAAATATTCTTTTTGTGTGTGTCTAAAAATAACCATGTACACTTCTTTCTCGATTCTATCTGACATGAATCGATTCCACATATATAACGACAACAATAACCAGAAATGAAAATCTGAATTTTGCTAAATAGGAATATCTTCGAAATGATAGACTAAAAACGGATGGAAATTTTTCTTTGTTTTTTTCGGAATATCATTTTTTTGGCTGTTTTGATTTCATAATTTTTTTTCTTAATACTGATTAATCGGAAAATATAGGAATTTTTTTCAAATAATTTATTGCGAATTAAGTACATGATTTTAATATTTTTCAAATGAAAATCATAATTATTTTTCATTGGAAATTTCGAATCAATACAAAACTGGAAAGGCAATCGGTCAAAAATGACCTTGATATTAATCTATTTTCCTGTTGCTTTTAATTTTATGTTGTTATTTGAAGATATCAAGGTCATTCCTCATTTATAGATTCTCTTGAATGAAATCATTATTGCCCGGTATTACAATCATGATGAATAATCCAAAACATGAATCGAATAATAAAAACGACAACAACAACAAAAATCGCCCGTGAAAATAGTGATTTAA